GAAAGGGACAGGCAGGAGACTTATCTCTCTTTCTTTCTTTCGTTCAGGCTATGGGGGAGGGAGTGGTTCCCCCCCCCCCCGGGCTTCAATGCCCAGCCCGTGTTGGGCAGACTAGGTTACACTACCCCTCATCGCTTCAGAATGGACATGACTTTATGGGACAAAGGGGCACGCTAATGGCTTAGACTAGCTTACCGTCCATTCTTGGAGCTTTTACGTTGCAAGCGGTTTCCTTGCAAGGCGTGAAACGTTTTGCCCCTGCGAGTTTCTTGCCCCTAAACCACAGGACAGTATGACTTTCATGTTACCACATAGCGCAGCTCCCAAAATAAATGATTTGATCATATACTGGCTCATGGCACTCTCTGTATGCGTTGCTTTGGGTATCATGTGTAGCATGCTTCGCTCCTGTCTTGCCACGTTTTTTCTTTGGGTTAACTGTGAACCAACAGCTTGTATATAATGTATCTCCCCTGGTAAGTGGTTGTTTGGTGGCTCGTTGGCAAAGCTGCTACACTGCTCTCTTGCCACCTCATTTGTTTTTCTGGGGTTAATGGCGAACCAACAGCTTTGTGTACTGCGCCTACTGTAATGCCCCCTCTTGCTTGGTGGCTTGGTGGCTGGTTGGCAACGCTACTTTTTGTGTTGGCCATGTTTGGGGCTTGGCAACTTCTCCACTTTGGTGAATGAAGGATCTATGAAAAGGTCAGGAGGATAAGGATCTATCATGTGTACAGTGTTGCGGGATTGCCTTTTGGTTGGTGAGACTGATCCTTTACTAGCTGATTTTGCCCCCCTCCTACTGTTGTTTAAACGCCCCACTGCTTGGTGGACACTAGTTAAGATGGCAAGTATATATTGGGGTCTTGAGCAGGGGGTGGCTTGTTGCTTCGACAGCGTGAAACCATTGTTCGTCGCTCAGGTGATCTTGTCGTAGGATCTCAGGTGCCTTCCGTGTTGTAGGTGAGGTTGTTAGTCGCCCCTGTTGCGAGTTACCCCCTTGGCGGTCAGCATGCCATCGTCCTCTTCATCATCATCGGCCTCCGGCTGCGTCATCTGTGGGGGCTACGCAGGTGGCTGGCTGCGGCTATGTGGAGATCTGTTTCTGCCCTCGTCTGGCTGCGGCTTGTAGTGTCCCAGTATCCACCATGGTTGTTGTGGGTTGTGTGGCTGTGGTGGCTGGTCTTGGATGTTTGCTGGTGGGTCTAGTGGGTTGCGTTGTTCATCGTGTTGTGGTATCTCCGTTGCTGCTGCGGCACCTTGGTTGGTGGCTGCATGCATTCCCAGTACCCACCATGGCTGCTGTCCGTGGGTGGGTGTGCTCTGTGCAGGGTCGGTCACTGCTTGAGCGTGTTGCTGGCTGTGGGTTGCAGGTCGCTGTGCTGTTGTTTGAGGCTCCTGTGGTGACAGTGTGGATGGTGCGAGGCTTCGTTGTTCGTCTTGCGCTGGTGGTGCTGGTGGCAGTGATGATTATGGTGGCCAGGGCTGCGTTGCTGCCTGGCTGTCTGTTGTTGTTGGTGTTGGTTGACTTATCTCTCTCTTCTTCTTCTATAGGCTATGCGACGCCCGAAGGCATCGCGGAGGCGAACCTCCAGCCCCACGTCCGATGTCTCTGGCTAGGAGGGGTACAGCGTTCATTGGATCGTGGACCAAAGCTAACCCAATTATTCAACCTAGTTCACCCCATCCAATGCGCCTTAATCTCCCGGGACAATGGTCAGGAGGAATTGGCCGAGG